AACCCCAAACAGAAGGTGATGAGTGACCCCCAGACAGACAGGGGAAAACCAGTTTCTGAATGTAAGGAGGATGGAGGGAGTCACAGCAAGCACTTATGACTCATAAGTCCCATATGCATTCTTATGACTGTGTGCTGACTCGGAGTCTGCAGGTGAGGGTGACTAGAGCGAACCTCTGCACAGGGTGGCCTCGGAGAACAAGGCAAGGTCAAACTCTGAGGTGAAAAGTAGCCTAACTCTCCTGGATGTCTGTTGCAATTATTTTGTAGTATTTTGACTTCTGGGTATTTTATAGGGGGTTGGAGGCAGGTTGATTTTAGAGACAAGGTCTCATGGAACCCAGACAGTCCTTGAACTTATGATTTTTGTCCTCGTTTTTATTTATTTATTTATTATTTTTCTTTTATGTGTATGCATGCATTGCCTACATGCAGGTAATTGCACCCATGTCATACAATGCCTGCACAGGTCAGAAGAGGCTGTTGGATCCCCTGAGACTGGAGTTACAGAGTTGTTGGCTTCCATGTAGGTACTGGGATTCGAACCCGGCTCTTCTACAAGAACAACCAGTGTTTTTAGCCACTGAGCCATCTCTCCAGCCCCACAGGTAGATCTTTAAGCAGAAGAAAAATGCACCCCAAATGCAAACAGCACAGAAATGCAAGAAAGAATAAAAGTGGGAAGCTAAGCTTACAACTCTGAATGAACAAAGATGATGTGAAAGTAATAATTTATGCTATGTAATAAGAACATATTTTAAAAGTTAGAGCACCTGGCAGTGCTAAGAGAAACAAACATATAGGAAAATTAAATGTAGATAAAATATAGTTTTGTAACCTTCTTCACTTTCTGGGAAATATTTAAAGTGTAAATTTCTTTCAGAAATTTAGGGCTGGTAAGATGGCTCAGCAGGTAAAGGCACTTGGCACCAAGTCTGACTACCTGAGTTCAATCCCATGAGCACACATGACGGGAGAGAAGACTCTGGAAAAGTGTCCTCTGACCTCTACATATGCAGCTCACATTCACACACACACACACACACACACACGCACATATGCATGCACACACAAACACACACACAAATTTTATTAAAAAAGTCAAAGGTGCATTATTAAAATTTCTAAAATACAGTAGAAATTATCAAAGCAGCTTATATAAAGAGCAGACTAATTCAATTGGGCAAACAGAATAATTTAAAATCCTAATTAATTTAAAAAAAGTCAAAAGGGAGAGTGAGGAGCACAGTGTTAGAGTAGCAAAAAGCCCCATAAATGTAACTGGTCCAGACTAAAATGTTAGCCTATGGAGGACTACTTTTCCAGTCTCACTGGTCAATTACCTGGTGACAGAACCACTCCTAGGAAGGCAGGTTCACCTTAAGTTATGCTAAATAGATGGGTGGAATACCTGGTGTGTTAAGTAGTGAATATCTTCTGCCTGGAACTAGCTCAGATCCTTGCACAACTTCAAGACTAGCCAGCCAGGTAGGTCTCTGTAAGTATGTTCACTTTCCTGAGCGCTTCAGGAAAGCCTAATTTCTCCTTTTCTTCTTCACGCCTTTCTTACTAAACATGCTTTCTCTAAGGCTTTGGGCTGCCCCTAGCATCTTGTATTTCTTCACTTTTCCTCTAAAGCTTCCTTCTTCCAGCCATGTGGCTGCCAATCAGCCATGTGTCTGACCTTTATGATTTTCTTTCCTTCTTCCCACTATTCACCTCCCCAAGGCAGCTGCCAAGATTACCAGCTCGCCTGCCCTGAGGATTTTTCTTTAAGATTCTAATAAAGTTGTAAAAGCTTCTGTTTGGGTCCATTCTTAAAATTCTTTTATGAAGGAGACTAAGAGCCCTCTGGGAACCTTCTTTCTCCCTGTTTCAATAGAACAGAGGGGACAAATAAAAACAACAGTAAGTTAAACTATGCAGACATGTCATTCAAATATGCAAAATTCAACAGACTAGGAAGATCCTGTTGGGAAAAAAAGTTTTGGAGTTGTTTGTATGGGACTGACATTTCCCATATACCACTGTGAAATTATGGAAAGCACAAATTAAAAAATAGGTTACTTTGAAAGCATTCAGGATCTTGGAGGAGACTGAGTCCCTGAAGAAGGGATTCACGCTGGCCCAGGCTACATGGTTAGTGCTTTTCCCCAGGCAGTAAGCATGTGTCAACCAGCCAGGGTCCCTGAATTCACCCACAAAACAGCAGAAGACTTGTGACCTGGAGGTGTCCTATGAAGAATCTCTTTAGATATGCTCATTTCTGCCTGTCTGACTACATTTCCATTTCCATATGGGAATTACCTGGTATTGCTCTGCACCAGCAAGACAAGAACAGAGCCTTTTGGAATCTACCAAGCAAATTCATCCATACAGACTTTTTTCAGAGCATATACTTCACTGAGGATTTGATAAGGAATGGGGACAGGGGTGTACACACTGCACTCACAAATAAGCTATTTAAAAACAAGATAATCATATTCTGTTCTTCATCACCATTTAAAAAGGACATGGTGGGGAGGCGCTCCTGTCTCCTTGTCTCTGTCTCAGCCCTTCTCCCCCCTCACCACCTGCTCCTGTCACCTCCTTTCCTTTTCTACACGGACTTTTTAACCTCACTGAATTTGCCTTTTATGCAGTACTTTAGAGCCCTCCCCAAATTCCTGCTTCACGTTTCACACTTCGTGTTCAGCAAAGTGACACGCTCTATAGGAAAAAGTTTCTTTAAAGGTACTTTATAGGTTATTTTTATAAGCAGATTCATATCCTTCCAGGAGTTAGCCTATGCCTTCCCCCAAAGAACATGACAACTAATTAACGTTTATGCTTTTCACTGGAGTCGTGGTGAATGGAATATGTGACTAAAAACTACACAGTGCTAGGAGAGAGAACATGGGAGGCACAACAGACTCCCATTTCAGCGTCTAGGCGGAGGAAACAATTGTTCTAACTAAAACTTGAACAAGAGTAGGCAACAGTGTGGGGAAAGGGATTACAGGTGTGTTCATTATGATAGGAAAGCAAGGGGCTGGAGAAATGGCTCAGCAGTTAAGAGCACTGGCTGCTCTTGCATGGTGCCTAACAATTGTGTATAACTCCAGTTCCAGGGGATCTGACACCTTCTGGTCTCTGCAGGCATTGCATGCATTGGTACACTTAAGATAGAGACAAAACACTCATACACATAAAATAAAAATGAAGTTTTTTTTTAAAGATATGAAAAGAAGAAGGTGACTCACTGAAGGTGATCAAAGTCTCACTGGCAAACGAAGCGAGTACAGAGGGACTCCCTCCTCACGTCACCCTCTCCTGTGCTCTTCTAGGATGCGCAGAGACTCTCTCTTCTGCGGCGCCCTCTCCTGTGCTCTTCTAGGATGCCCAGAGACTCTTTCTTATGTGGCGCCGTCTCCTGTGCTCTTTCCTAGGATGCTCATCATGTCCTCAAATATGGTGCTTCAGAAAATGCTGCTGATGCTGACTTCCTTTTTAGTCATTACCTGGATTATTTTTGTCAATTCCCAAAACTCCACAAAGGTAGGAACACAGTTCTCCTCTTTGGCCTGAGATCTCCACCTGTGTGAGCTGTATCCCCAGGACCTCCCAGCCAATGCTGCCCCTCCTTTCCCACTCCAACGCTGCTTTCTTCTCCCCCTACCTTATGGGGCTGAGGTAGGAGGGAGACCCTGTCACCATTTCCTCAGGGCCCATTCATTCTCCGTCCTTTCTAATCAGTGTCCTAGCTCCCACAGCTCCCAAAATGGCCTTTCTTAAGGCCACGAACTGCCATGTCACTAAGTACATGTTGCTAAATCCATATATATTCCTTGGTCCTATAGATCCAGTTTGCCATTATGTTTTCTCTATGGGGGTTATTTTTAGTACTCAATGTCTCTGACAGCCTCTGGATATTAAGTACTAATTAGGGAAGTCTCCTCACTGGAACTCTATATGGAATTTAACCATGTTTTCTTAGCTTTTCCCTGTGTAGTTCCACTGTCTATATTTATCTTATTTACTTGGAGTCTGTTCTTTAAATTGTATGAGGAGTTCATCTAATTTAATTTTTGCCCATCGGACTGTCCAGTGACCCAAATCCTCCTATTAAAAGTACCATCCTATACCCCCACTGATTTTGAGTGCTGCCTCTATAGAATATTAAATTTGCATAAATAATAAAGTGCATTCTGATTTTTATTCTGTACCATTAAAAAATGTTTTCTTATTTATTTGGAGGGAAGCAAGAAGGGACTAGGATCACAGCACACATATGAAGATCAGAGGACACAACTTGTGAGAGTTGGTTCTCCTCCTCCTCCATGTAGATTCTGGGATCAAACTTGGACTTCAGGCTTGGCCTAGAGGCAAGTGCTTTTTATCCACTGAGCAATTGACCAGTCCCCTTACATCTTTTTATTCAAGCACCAAACCATCCCATTTTATGGCTGGACATGTAGCCCAGCTGATAAAGACTCTATCTAGCATGCACCAAACCCTAAATTCAATCCCGGTACTGAATAAATGAGGCGTGGTGACCCATACCTGTTACCACAGTGTTTGGGAAGCAGAGGCTGGAGGATCGGAAAGTCAGTCCATTCTCAGCTACACATCAAGTTTGAGGCCAGTCTCCTGCTCTACACAAGACCTTGTCTCAAACAAAACAAAACAAAACAACACCTTAGTTTAATTTCAGAAATTTTACAAGTTTTAATATACAGTAAGGCTAACCTTCCCCATACCTACAGCCTCTGCATTTGATTGCCCCACATGTTTTCTGGTTAGTATTATTTATCCTTTTAAGTAAACTTTCCATTTGATATGTCTTGTCCAAATAATCCTGATGATTTTTTTCCTATGATTTCATTAAATGTTGTGATCCTGAATTTTGATTATCAACTAGATAGGATCAAGAATCAGAGGAGACAAACTTATAGGAATGCCTGTGGGGGGTTATCTAGATTAGGTAGCCTCTGGGTATGTCTGTCGCCCTAAATGGGGGTGGCATCATCCCACCCACTGGGGTCTGGGACTGCATGAAAAGGAAGAAGCAAGCTGAGCACAGCCTTTAGTCCCTTTGCCTCTGCTTCCTGACCATGGACACATGTGACCAGCTGCCTCAGGTTCCTGATGCGGTGACTCCCCTGCCATGGGGGGCTGTGATCTTGAACTGTGAGCGCAGGTGACCCTTTCCTTCTTTAAGCTGCTTTATTTTGTCCAGGAGCAAGACAAGCAACGAATACACATGTGTAAGTTCTGTCCGTGAACACGATTTCCCTTCCTCTGTTCCATTTTGTCATAATGCTTTATGGGTTCTCCTCATGTAGATATCGGACATTTGTTAAACACATACTAAGTATTCGGCTGTTATTTTTCTGCCATGTCAGACCTTCTGTTTCGTCTTGCCTTCTCTCTGAGTTTAGTCTGTAGATACATTAATTTTACTACCTGCTACTTTGCTAAATCTCATTATGATTTGTGGTTATTATTCTATTGACACTCTAGGATTTTCTAAATAAATAGCCACCAAAGTAAAACGATAATTATTTTAAGTCTTCTTTCCAATGCTAGTGTCTTCATTTGTTTTTTCTTATCTGACTGCACCCCAAGGTTAGATGGTAACAGAGCAGTGGGTATCCTTGTCTTCTTCTTGATTTGGGCAGCAAAGCCTCTAGAATTCCTGTTTAGTAAGATGATAATCTTTGAGATGAAATATGCAATTATGGGTAGAAAGCATCCGGAGAGCTTCTGTTGAGTGTTTTCTACTGGAGTTGGTGCTGTGGGTTGAAGCTGTATCTTTTCATTCCAGTCCACATCAACAAGGCGGTCCACAGGGCAGTTCTGCTCTTCATCTTTCCACTCTCCAGTCGGGTTTGTGGTTGTGTCTGTGCTGTCAGAACACAAGCTGTGGCACGCCACATTCTCCGCAGTGAGAGAATCATTAAAAAGGAGTGGAGATAGTGGACATCCCTGTCTGGTTTCTGATTTTGATGGGAATGCTTCCATTTTTTCCCCTTTAGAATGATGTTGACTGTAGGTTTGTTGCATATAGCTTTAATCATGTTGAGGTATGTTCCCTCCAGTGCACTTCTCTTTAGGACTTTTATCATGAATTCATGCTGAATTTTGTCAAAAGCCTTTTCTGCATCTATTGAAATGATGATGTGATTTTTTGTCTTTGAGTCCATTTATATGATCGATGACATTTATTGACTCATGCATATTGAGCCAATCCTCCATCTCTGGAATAAAGCCTTATGTGTGTCTGCATGTGGTTTGCAAGTATTTGTTGAGAATATTTGTGTCTATGCTCATTAAGGATATGGGTCTATAGTTTTCTTTTTTGATTGTATCTTTACCTGGTTTTGGTATTAGAGTGATGCTGGCTTCACAGAGGAATTTGGGAGTTCTGCCTCTGTTTCTATCTTTTTGAATAATTTAAGTAGTATTGGCTATAAATCTTCTTTAGATGTCTGGTAGAATTCTGCTGTGACTCCATCCGGGCCCAGGCTTTTTTGAGTCTGGAGGATCTGTATTACTGTTGCAACTTCCTTATTTGTTATGGGTCTCTTTAAACTGTTGATATCTCCTTGATTTAGCTTTGGTGGTTCCCATGATTTTTGATATTCATCAATTTCTTTTAGGTTTTCAAATTTAATAGATTATAGGTTATTAAAGTATTCCCTTATAGTGTTCTGTATTTTTTTTTGGTGTCTGTTGTGATGCTTCCCTTTTCATATCTGATTTCATTGATATGGATTTGCACTTTATTTTTTTTGGTTAATTAGGCCAAGGGTCTGTCTCTCTTGTTTAGCTTTTCAAAGAACCAGCTTTTAGATTCATTGATTCTTTGTATTGCTTTCTTTGTTTCTATTTCATTAATTTCTGCCCTGATTTTTATTATTTTTCTTGTCTGCTGGGTTTGATTTTAACTTGTTCCTGCCTTTCCAGAGTCTTGAATTTCAATATTAAATCATTTTTTGTGCTCTTTCTGGTTTTTAAATGTAGTCACTTAGAGCAATAAACTTCCCTTTTAGAACTACTTTGAAAGTGTCCCAGAGGTTTTGTTGTGTTCTATTATCTTTTTTGTTTAGTTCCAGGAATACTTTTATTTCTTTCTTAATTTCTTCTTTGACTCATTCATCATTCAGGAGTGTGCTGTTTAATCTGGATGAGTTCATGTAGTTACTAGTGCTTCTTTTGGTGTTGAGATTTATTGCATTGTGTTATGATACAATGTATGGAATTATTTCAGTTTTTTTGTATTTGTTGAGGTTTATTTTTTGCCCCAGTATATAGTCAATTTTAGAGAAAGTTCCATGGGGTGCTAAATAGAAAGTGTATTCTTTGGTGCTTGGGTGGAATATTTGGAAGATGTCTGTTAGGTCCATTTGGTATATGGTATCATTTAATTCAGATGTCTCTCTGTTTATTCTTTGTCCAGTTGACCTATGTAATGGAGAGAGTGGTGTTTTGAAGTCCCCTACTATTACTGAGTTAAAGTTAATCTGTGTCTTAAAATCCTTTAGTACTGTTTTTGTGAAATTGGGTGCACCAGAGTTTGGTACATATATATTCATGTTGTAATATGTTCTTGGTCAATTGTTTCTTTGATCAGAATGAAGTGGCCCTCTTTTTTGAATCCCACTTTCTTGTGTTTTTACTTTTGTCTATGGTATCCCTTCTCAAATAAAACTTTAATTTTTAAGGATATAAATAGCTGAATATGGAAATACTTTTCAACTTCATATAATGTGCGTGTGTATGATGAATGTGTAAATGCATGCATTCATATCTAGCACATGTACAAGTATGAAGACAAGTTTGGGGAGTTGGTCCTCTCATTTTCCTCTGGGTTCCAGGGATAAAATTCAGATTGTCAGGCTTGCATGGCAAGAACTCTTACCCACTGAGGCATCTCACCAGTCCTAGACACTTTTTCTTGTGGGTTGTACCTTTGCAAAATTATGTAAGAAGTGCTCCCTGATCTGATGCCATAAAGAAACTATAAGACTGGGCAAGGTGGCTCAGCAGGTAAATGCACTTGCCAGACTGTTTTGATCCCCAAAACTCACATAAAAGTAGAAGTAGAGAACTGATTCTCAAAAGTACTTCAACGTGTGCATTATGGCATGTGTGTGCACACACACGGACATGCACACATGAAAGAAACAAAGTGCTTTGCGTTGTATAATCCTATGCCTTTACTTAAAAAAAAAACAAAATTTCTTTATTTTGCAATTTTAATTATAATTTTCCATTTTATGTCTTTAATTCATTTGGACCTTTATAATGCAACATGACGTGGATATTTTCAAATTTCTTTCAATACAATGAACATTTTCACCCCAGTATAAACTGCTAAATATAAATTCCTGATTTCTTTATTTAATTAAAAATTTTGTGTATGTGAGTTTTTTGCCTGCATGTATGTTAGTCTATCCAAGTCATGCAATGTCTACAGAGGTCAAAAGAGGGTATCAGATCTCCTGGAAATGGAGTTATAGATAGTTGTTAGCCGCAATATGGGTGGAATCCCTGTCTTCTGCAAGAGAAGCCAGTGCTCTTAATCACTGAGAAATCTCTCCAGCCCCAAATTCCTAGTTTCTAATGTTACCACAAATACATGTTAAACTACCACATATGAACAATTCTATTAGAAAGCTCTATTCTGTTTGATTGGTTTATCTGGATGACACTGTGCTTCTCCGACCCTACTTTACTACTGTAGTTTATGCTAGGGTTAGCTTGTTAAAAGTTATGCTTAAGAGACTATTATATTCACAAAATTTTAGAATAAATGAATCAGGTTCCTCCTCTATTATGGTTTGCATATACCTTCCCAAACAGTGTCACTAATTAAGAACCAATAAATCAAATACAGAAGCCTATGAGAGACATTTCTCATTCAAACCACAACACTTATCTTAAGTAAAACTTATTGGGAACAGATGAAATTTATAATGCATTACATTTTTTTTTTTTTTTTGTCATTTCAGCTTTGGACTGCTCTAGACAGATCCATCTCCTTCCGTCCTTGGAACACCTTCATGAAGTCCTCATGCCCTCAGACTCCAATGAATCTGTCAAAGTTCCATACAGAGGATGAGCTAAGAATAGGGGGGACCCCTAAAACCATGAGCCTGATCAAGTCACCAACAGAGACAGAGCTGAGACTCAGGGAGATCCTGGAAAAGCTGGACCAGCAGATCCCACCCAGACCCTTCACCCACCTCAAAAGCACCACCAGTGCCAAGCACAGCACGGCCACCGTCCTCAACCCTCAACACACATACTGCAGGGGGGACCAGCTGGACGTCCTCCTGGAGGCCAGGGACTACCTGGGACGCAGGAAGGAGTACGGTGGGGACTTCCTGAGGGCCAGGATGTTCACCCCAGCCCTGAAGGCAGGTGCTACTGGAAAGGTGACAGACTTCAACAACGGCACCTACCTGGTCAGCTTCACTCTGTTCTGGGAGGGTCCAGTCTCCCTGTCCATCCTGCTCATCCACCCCAGTGAAGGGGTGTCAGCTCTCTGGAGGGCGAGGAACCAAGGCTACGACAGAATCATCTTCACTGGCCAGTTTTCTAAAGGCACCTCGCATGTCCTCACTGAATGTGGCCTGACCTTAAACACAAGCACTGAGCTGTGTCAATACCTGGATGCTCGGGACCAAGAAGCTTTCTACTGCGTGAGGCCTCCGCATGTTTCCTGTGAGGCACTGACGCACATGCGCACAAAGAATAGAGGTATTTCCTACCTTAGCGAGGAAGAATGGAGCCTTTTCCACAGGTAAACATGACCGCAAATGCAGTAAGGCAAACAGAAATGCAGACTTTGGATCTGAACTATCTAATACATTAGCTTTGACTAATCAAAATGTCGTATTATTTCAGTTGCTGTCGACTGAGTTATAATTAGTTCCATCCTCCAGATGCAACTGAACTGGGTTATTATGTGTGCAGGGCCCAACTAGGTCGCCTCTGGGACCGTTTGCTAAAAGGAACGTAGCCAGGGACGTGCTTTCAACAGTATGTACCAATTGCTTTCCATGGTGGGTAGTAATTCCAAATTCAGCAGGCGGTATAAACCATTGTTTCCTATATTGTCTTTATGAAATATTATCCCCACACTATTAATAGATGGGTAGGTTCATTATTCAGTTTACTCTGTCCTTTAATCCAACCAGCCATCTAATCCTACAAACTACCTCTCAACCATCTCCTGAACACGTTTTTAAAAAGGTATCTTCTGGGATGATAAGATGGCTTAGTGGGTAAAAGTATTGCCCTGGAACCCACACAAAGGTGGAAAGAGAGAACCAACTTCATGAAGTTGTCCTCTGACGTTCACAGGAAAGCTGTGGCTATGCATGACCGCCCCCCCACCACACATCACACACATCACACACATCACACACACACATCACACACACACACCACACACATCACACACACACACCACACACATCACACACACACACACCACACATACACCACACACACACACACACACACACACACACACACACTTTTTTTTTAATTTTTGATTTTCATTGCTTAAAACCTTTAAGGTTCCAGAGGTCTAAAGAGTGAAATGCTTCCTTCTGCAGCTTCCTGTCTCCCCGGAATGCTGTTTTGTTTTGTTTTGTTTTGTTTTAATTTTTTTTTTATTATTAGAAGAAGCATTTCATTACAACAGCATTAAACTCAATAACAATTTCCAGAGCAAAGATATATCTCTTTCAAAAGTGGCTATA